ATAAAAAGTTATAAAAATCCCTGCCTCTTGCGGTCGCCGTCTCTCGCTCTCTCTCTCTCTCTCTCTCTCACTCTCTCTCTCACTCTGTCCGTCACACTGGGACATCGTGGTGCATGCGTGTGCTGCTGGACTAAGGTGCGAGGATTCCCCTGCCCCCTCTTTTTGCCCCCTCCTGGCTGCGGCTGCTCAGTTACCCCTCCTCGTTTCCCCCCCATCGTAAGGACCGTAGTGTTCGGATAACCCCTGCCCTGATGTGAATAAACATAATTACAGGCCTTTTTTTGTGGTCCTAATAAAAGGCCCATTTGTGTAACATTCCCACTGCCGCACAAAGACCACATTTATATGCTGGGAGTTTCGACCTGTGTCCAATTTACACAAAAATTTGTATTTTTAGTCCTGCGCTGCGTTGGAATGGGCTGGTGGAAAAAAGCAGTTCCCTTTATTGCACCTCTTGTAAAATATCTGATAAATTTCTCTTAAAAATAAAAGAACTATTGAGAGCGATATCTTAACTCTGTCCTGGCTGTGGCAAAACCAGGCATTGTCTGATGTCAGAGCTGGATTGATTTCCTGAGCAGATATTTCTCTGAGCCGACACATTTCCCAGCTCTGATGGGCAGCTGCTTCTGTTTAAAATCTAGGCCCATGTCCAGATACATCCCTCTGCTTTGTCTCTCCATCCATCCATCCATCCATCCATCCATCCATCCATCATCCATCCATCCTTGCCGTCCATCCATTTGTTTGTTAAGCCTCTGAATGTACCAGGTGACAGAGTTGAGCCTAAGTAGCTTTGACAACTGCGGCATGGAAAACGGATTCGAAGACGGAATGGATCTGTGTTCTCCTCGCCTCAGACATGAATCGCCAGATGATTTGGGCACATTATACGTTAATTCTGGGTGCTGATTATACCAGAAGGGTCCACCTGTAAGGGGAGATGTACCATATGTCTGTGGATGAGTTTTGCAATTTGGATGTGATGGGACCGCATTCATCCAAAGACCCAGGGCAGTGAGACGCACTGACGCAAGCACCTGCAGACGATTGGGCTGTGCGCTCCAGGGCTCCTCTCCAGAGCCTGATGCCGTGCAGCACATCAGTTGCCCCTGTTTTGCCCTTCTGAGTTTTTTTGCCCCTGAGACCAGTGGAGGACATTTCTCACCTTCAAACCAAATGTCATCTGTGCCCCTCCCTGGTCATTTCGGTAAACACTGACGTCCGAGGCCGTGCTATTTCCAGGGCAAGGCGCCACACGACCATGAATTAGACAGCAAAAATCCCTTGGCTACCCTGCTCTCTCTCTCTCTCTCTCTCTCTCTCTCTCACACACACACACACACACACACTCCTGCCCCCACTCTCACTGTCACTGACTGGGTTATAAGAGTATGAAGCAAAGTCCTGTTTCTGGTGGATGGCTTGTGGCGGAGCGTGTGTGTGTGTGTGTGTGTGTGTAGCTAAGTCTGTCAGAGCTTCACACATACTATGTCGGCCGGGCTCCCGCCAGTCAGGCCTGGTGGGGCCGTAACGGCCCAGCCTGAAAGGGGGCCTTGTCCCTGCACAGCCCCCTCAGAGCATTTGTGCGCGTCCGCGGTTGTTTCCGCAAAAGAAAAAAAAAAAAAAGCCCTAGCGAATGAAACGAGCTTTGACCCAGCGTGTGCAGGGGATTGGGACACACGAGAAAAAAACATAGATGCCCTATTCCTTGATGAAACTGGTATGTTTTTACACAGCCGAACAGTTATACCTTTTCCCACCCCAAGCCCCGCCCACATCCCACTCCCTCACCCTAGAGAGTCCTGGGACCCTGAGCTCACTTCGAGTGTTTTCTTGCACTCCTGGATGGAAACCCTGCCGATCGATTCCATCCCACCACGACTCCATGCGAGTGTGTGGTTGCCCCTCCATGCTTTCGCATCTTCTGGGTGGAGGGCCGTTTTCTGTCTGGTCAATAGATCCAAACCTCGGCATTAATTGGGCTGTGATGTCACGGATTGCATCACAGGCTGCGCCATCTCCTTGGAAAGAAGTTGGTGTCTCCCCATCCACTCGCCATTCGTTAGATGTTTCCCACCGGCTCCTCGGCCAGCGGGACGCAGGCCATTTTGGTGACTCCTGTTCCCAAGGAACATGCTCCCTTATGTGCCGCGCTGCCACCGCGTGGGGACCCCCACCTCCCGTTCCCCACACCCCAGCTCCTGGCCTCAGCTCTGGCCCTCCGTCAAGCCCTGAGGTTTATTTATGTGGAAAAAGGGAGAGGGCCGGCCAGTTCAGGAAATACACAGGAGAAGTAAAAACACGGTGGGTCAACAGTGAGTGCAGGACTAGCGCCTGCGAGGCTGACAGAGGAGAGAGAGGGACACGGGGCCAGGCGCCCCAATTATGATGTCTCCCCCGATCCGACATATCGAGCTCCGCCGATCAAACGCTTTCACGCAGGTCTGCAGGTTCAGCCTCAGCTTCCACTAATGGTCTCTTTCATGGAGCTGCTGAAGCAGAGAGCCAAGCAGTCTGGGACCTTAAAATTGCTGGATGTCACTTCAAAAAGATGGAATATCTTTGTTGTGATGGTGACATGTCTATAGAGGCCTTTATTGGCTGTATGGTGCCGTACTAGGAAAAACTGATTCATACGTCCTCTTCTCTCTGGTGTTCTTTGAGAAATATTCTGCTTTGACCACCAGGTAGTGCAGCGATTAAAGACACGACCTGAAAGCAGATAGATCGTGGCTTGCTCGAAATCCATTGTAGTAAAAAGGTCTGGCAAAAACCGAAGAGGGTGAGCAAGTCACACCTGCCGGGGGGGGGGGGGGGGGGCGTGCTGCTCAACGTCGGCCACGTGGGAAGAAAGTGGTAGATGAAGCGTGGAAATGCTATTCAGCCCGCAAGTGACACAAGAGCTCTGCGTTAAGTGGAGAATGATACGTCTGGGCACTGGCGGAGCCCTCATTCACAGTCTCATTCGTCTGTTACCCAAGAACGGCTTAGCACCAGGCGAGGTGAAGGCGGAGATTGGGCTGGGAGTGACTTTGAGCGTCAGAGCTAATCAAGCGGCTTTTATCTGGAGCCTACGAGATGAGCGTGGCATGGAGTCCTGACAGCTCCTCTCCCTGCTAAAGGGCTCAGACTGTCCACCCGTAACCCTGCTAAGGACAGCAGTGAGCTGCAGAGAGCCGGGATGCCGCAGAGGCTCTGTGACAGGCCCGCAGGAACACCTCGCCTGCCTTGGCACGTACACTGGCACGCTCGTGGCGCGGCCTAATATGCACCTCTCCGAAAAAGCCATATACGTGGGCTGTCCCTGCTCCCCTAAGGCTTCAGGCATTCAGGGCCAAGTCCTCGCCAGCAGCCAAACAAACAAGAACAACCTACGACGCTTCTAAAATTAGCCCCGAAATAAGCACTGACGTGTTCATCCAGGCTGACGAATGGACCTGAATCTTGGGGTGAAACAGGGAATTGCTCTTGCTTTGCCTGGAAGGCTCAGTACAGAGAGTCTTTATAGTGGTGCCATAAGCCCTGTAGGTGACGGCAATTACACTCTATTTAACAGAAAAAAAAACTTTCACGGGCTCTCCAGCTGCCATTCCTCTAGCATTTGACGTCGCTGAATGTCTGTCTTGGCTTTAATGGGCATCTCTGCTGCATGAGGGAGATACCCAAACCCTTACCCCACGCATGTGAATATGTTTATGTTGACATGGGGATATGTGCAGCTTCCAAGCTGAAGTGTTTGTGTTGCCTTTGGACAATGCTATAGGAGGTCAGTACGAGGCTATGAAAAGGCACATTGCTGTGTTAGCAGAGAGAGAGCATGGCGAGGGGCTGCTGGATCGCAGGTTTTCTTCCATAGAACAATGGCCTTCATGTTTGCGTTTCATATTCATGTTTATCTTCACAGTGAAATTAGGCCTAGCAGACCTCCAGGGCAGTTTTCTTTTCTATTCCAGAGCTGGTTATGAATAAATCCAGCAGGTCTAAGTGTGAGATCAAGAGGGACACAGAGCTGAAGTCCACGCTCACGTCATTTGATTTCCTCAGATGCTTTAATGACAATGACTTGCCGCTGGTTATACTGGTCAGGCTATGCTCAAAGTGCTTAAGTTCAGATTATGAGGTGAATCTGGGGACCCCTGCTTGGAATCCTTAGAGCCCCAAAAACATTGACACCCCCCCCCCCCC